GCAGGAGACTTGCTTGAGCCCAGGAGTTGGAGGTTGCTGTGAGCTGTAATGCCACAGCACTCTACCCAGGGGGACAGCTTGAGGCTCTGTCTCAAAAAAAAAAAAAAGAAAGTACACAATGCCACTAAATTGTACATACATTTAAAAATGGTTAAAATGGTAAGATTTGTTATGTATTTTTTACCACAGTTTTTCAATAGAAAAAAAAAACTCTTTACCTGAAAACTTCTATCATGACCCCACAGAATAATCTTCAAAGTAAACACATTTATTTCCTCTAACTCTTCTTCATGTGACATGAACAAAGTTCATTCGTATCCCATTCTGATCACTCTCTTCAGAATGTTCTCCAGCCACTGATAGCCCCATTTAATCCACAGGCCATAAACCTCAGTATAACATCGACCAGTTAAGAAAGGAAAGGGCCTATCACCTCCTTCAGTATGGTTACTAGGCTATTAATAAGGCAACCAGAGTTCCTAGTAATTTATTAAAACACTGATAATTTCTATAGAGCTAACTGTCTAGCTAAAACGCTAAGTTATTTATTTACTTAGTTATTTAAAGACAAAGTCTCATTTTGTCACCCTTGGTGAGTGCTATGGTGTCACAGCTAACAGTGACCTCAATCTCTTGGGCTCAAGGGACTCTGGCTCAGGCTGATCTCAAACCCGTGAGCTCAGGCAACCCACCAGCCTCGGCCTCGCAAGTGCTAGGATTATGAGTGTGAACCACTGCCCCTGGTCCTCAGTTATTTTTCAATGTGCCATGGCTAAAATGTTTTATCAGTTAAAACTCTCGCAGTAATTAAAATAAAACCAGAACCAATACAAAAAATATTCTGTAAACTGACTTAAGCTGGAGTCATCATATCATCCTACTTCAAATTATACTCTAAGTCTATAGGAATGAAAATAGCAAGCATTGATGTAAAAACAGACATATAGATCAATGGAACAGAAGAGAAAACACAGAAATAAACCCACACATTTACAGTTACTCATTTTAAACAAAGGTTCCAAGAATATACCTGGGAGAAAGGAAATGGTACTGAGAAAACTGGATATCCATATGCAGAAAATAAAATTAGACCCTTATCTCTTACTGTGTTCAAAAATCAAATCAACATGGATCGAGGATTTAAATGTAAGACCCAAACTATGAAACTACTAGAAGAAAATACTGGGGAAACATTTCAAAACATTGGTCTAGGCAAAGACTTCTTGAGTAAGATCTCAAAAGCAAAGTCCACCAAAGCAAAAATTGACAAATGAAATTACATTAAGCTAAAAACCTTCTGCACAGCAATGGAAATAATCAAGAAAGTGAAGGGACAACCTACAGAATGGGAAACAGGATGAAGTTTCCTTAAAAACTTGGGAATAGAACTACCATATGATTCAGCAATCCCACTGCTGGGTATATATCCAAAAGAGAGGAAATCAGTGTATCAAAGAGATATCTGCACTCCATGTTTATTACAGCACTATTCACAACAGTCAAGAGATGAAACCAACCTAAGTATCCATCAATGAATATTCACACAGTAGAATATTATTCTACCATAAAAAGGAATGAAATCCAGTCATTTGCAACAACATCAATGAAACTAGAGAAGATTATATTAAGGGAAATAAGCCAGGCACAGAAAGATAAATGTCACATGTTTTTATTTACATGTGGGAGTTACATAACTGAGCTCATGGAAGTAATGAATAGAAGGGTGGTTATCAAAAGCTAGGAAGGCTAGTGGGAAGGGGGTGAGGGAGAGGGGCTAATTAATGGGTACAAATATGTAGTAAGATAGGAGAAATAAGATCTAGTATTGGGTAGCACAATAGAGCAAACTATAGCTAATGATTTATTGACTATTTCAAAATAGCTAGAAGACTATATATATGGAATGTTCCCAACACAAAGAAAGGACAAATGTTTAAGATGATGGATATCCAAATTATGCAGATTCAATCATTACACATTGTATGTTTGTATCAAAATATCACCTGCACCCCATAAATCTGTACACGTACAACTAATATATACCCATAAAAATCAAAAACTAAAAAAACTAATTAAAAATCAACAAGCAGAAAGAGAATTGATCAACATGGGTAAATGTTCAAAAGATGGTGCTAACTTCAGGTGCAGCTTGATTCAATAGTTCAAATGATGTCACCAGGTCTCAACTATTTCCTTCTCTTGACCCAGCTCTGCTGTTTGGTGTTGTCTTAATTCTTCTTAGGCTCTTTACCCATAAGATATTTACCAAGGCGCTCCCAGGTTCATGGGTGGTAGAACAAAGTAAAAATATTGTTCTCAACAATCCTAGTCAACATATTATTGCTTTTCACGGGCTCTGACTGGGTCACATCCCTGAATCAGTCTCTGTGACCAGAATAATGCTGGTGCTACGTGGCTGAGTTCTAGGTCACATGTTCTGCCCCGAGACCAGGATGTAGTCAGTCTCACTGAATCAGTTTATGGGCTGAAAGTATAGAGGAGGTTAATGTTACAGGATAAGGTCATGTTGAGCAATAAAAACAACATATTCAACCACCCTTGAATTAGTTCAACTGGGTATTTTGTAGATTAAGATAAATTACACTAAGTCTATCCATATTGGATATGATCTTAGTAGAATCCTTCCATCAAGATATTTTAGGAATCCTAATCCTATCAGGCACTCATTTATTGTTTCTCTTGGCTGCATTTATTTTGCTGTGTGATAAACGTGCCTTACATATCTTATTGCACTCAGTGAACAGGTTGTAAATACATTTATATGGTACATCAGTACATTATATAACATTTAATCAGGCTAAGAATGCAGAGCTCCTCAACCCACCACCAGGATCTTCCTTCTCAAGTGTTATCACCATCATCTCTGGATGTGATTGTACAACCAGATACCAGGCCCATCTTTGTTAAATCTGGGCCCTACCTCTTGTGCCCAAACATAAGTAATCTTAACGAAATGTCTCACTCCTGGGAAGATTTCTTCCGGAGAGTTACTGTCATACTCAAAGTATGGATTCTTTATCTCAACCTCATCTAAGAGAGAGTTTTTTCTCTACATGTCTCAGATTTCTCATGTTTTCTAAGCACACTAAAATTTTTTTAAAACTAGCATCAGTAGTAGCTGCAAGAGGTACTCAAAGTGACTTATATTCATCGTTGTTAACAGTATATATTGAGTATTGCAATCTTAATATCATTCTTCCCTTTCTTAAGGTGTGTATACATTTTTTGGCACCCTCTGTTTATTATATGCCAGGCCCTGTTCTAAAAGCATATAAGAGTAAGTATTAACTCATTTTTTTCCTCATGAGCTCTCATGATCATCGTCACCGCCACCTTAAAGACAGGGAAACTAAGGCCCAGAGACGCAATCTGGCTCAAATTCACACAGCTGGTCAGTACAAGCCAGAATTTACACCCAAGGTGCCTGGCTCCAATAGTCCTTGTACTCATCACAGAACTGGTATTTGACACTCCTCTTCTCCCATTTCCAGCCCCCAGGCAAATATGCAGGTGTGTCTGCTCTAAAAAAAGTTACCATGGACAAATTAGGGAGCAACCCCTCCCTCACAAAACTGTTTGTCATCATGAGTGAATCATTTTCAATAACAAGATCCTCCTGAGACAGTTCAACCAATTAACGTTCATTAATGCCATCCCAGAAACACCAGGACATAGAAACCAAGCCCCAGGGTCAGAACTACTTCCACCGAAAGATCAATTAGAACTGAAAATATCTCTGGCATAATATTCACATTAGTAGAAAAATACAACTGAAGAAAACTTTTCTGACACATGTCTTTTTCCTGAGCAATGGCTGTGCTCGGGGGTGGGGGGGAAAGAACCATGCCTGGGCCAAGTAGGATAACCAGAAGAGCCCAGCTCAGCCTCTCACCAGGATCCTCCTGGGAGCAGAGCGGCTCAGTCCTTCCTGTGCCCACTGGGGTCACCTGCTCACAGTGCTGTTGTTGCCTTTGACAGCAGCATTAGTCACTTTGACAGTGCCATTAGTCAGCTCAGTCATGCACAAAGGTGTAATATAGGTGGCTACTAGATTCAAGGGAGTTGCATACAGCTCTCTTTCTTCTGGAAATTCCATCTCATGATGCTCCATGTGGTTGAAATGAAGGGGCTTTCATGCAGGGACAACATGCAGAGATGAAGCTGAGTTGAAAGAACAAACTAGGGACTTCAAAGAACCTCAAACTAAGATGGGGGAAGCCATTTCCACCTGTACAGCTGAAGGAGAATGGGAGGAGACAGCGTTATCAGGGAGCCCTGAGGGCAGAGGAAGAGCCTCCCCGTGGGGAGGAGGCAGCTCCTGCTAAATGCTGTACTAGGAGAGGGTGGGAGGAGGTGCCCATGTCTCTTCACCCCCAGCATCCTGCCTTTTGCTGGCCAGCAGGAGGTGAGGAAGCCCTGGGGTGTAGCCAGCAAGGGTCAACCGTCAGGGCACAGATTCAGGCAGGAAAGGGTTGTGAGTACATCTGGAGGACAGGGAATGAGGGGGCATAATGTCTCTTTCAAAGGTAGGTAAACTAAAAAAGGGGTTTCCATCATGAATGGCAATCATAGGGCAACTCAATTGCTCTTCATACAGAATTGACATCAAATATGGATAAACTGAGTCATTGGGAAGAAAATTCCTATTTCACATCAAAAAGGGCAACCCAGAACCAAGATGAGGGCCCATTTTCCTCTCCAGTCTCACTAATTTCAGGAAGCCTGAATGCCTGGAGAGAATCTCAAAGACATCTAATCCCTCAGGGTTCTTTGCAGAGGTAGTGGCATTACAGATGTCCACAGTGGTCCCCCTTTCTTCAGAAGTGGTGAGGGTGCATGTGATCAGGATGACTCAGCCTTCTGCCTCGGTTCACTAGAGAGATGTCAATGAATCACTCGTGTGGGTGACGACTCAGGATTGTTATTTTTTCACTGAACTCACTCCACGCACTAACGCTGTGTCTCTTTGGTGCATGAAGGTGACTCATCTGAGGAAGTTGACTTGACCATGGTTTATCAGGCAGCTTCTAATGGAGATGTCAATGCTCTGACCGCAGTGATTCGGGAGGACCCTTCCATCCTAGAATGCTGTGACAGTGAAGGTGAGCTATTTATGCAGTTTGAATTCAGAATGTTCTGCTCTATCCTTTTAGAGATAGTACTCAAAAATGAGCAAAGTTAATAAAATTAGATGTGACAGCCACTTTGATACTGTAGCTATGTGCAGACAAATCAGTATTTCTTTAAATAAGAGTGTTGGACACAACCTTTCAAATCCTTTCTATCACCTCTTCTAACACAGTCAGTTGGTTTGAGTTTGTTTCCAATATCTCTGAATAAAAGGATGGAAGTAGATAGGCCAAGGAGTTAGAAAAGAGTATGGACAGGCTACTTTGGGCAGCAATGGATGTGGAGAAAGGTAACTGTAAAGAGCTTTCCAAAAGCAGCACAAGGCCTTCTGCTTCTGGAAGATGGAGTAGATTTTCCTTTCCTGTATTCTTTCTGCTCAATACAACTAAAAACCTTGGACATTATATAAAAATCAATATAAGAAGACTCTAGAAGAAAGAGAAAAAATAACAGATTGGCTGGGACCTTGGCACCCAAGAAATGACACAGTGGTGAGTTCCCTGAGTTTTCTTTTTGCCTCTTCTATCTCAAAGCAGGAGCTAAAGAAGCTGGCAACCCAGACATGCTGATAGGCACAGATCAAAAAGTCTCGACAACCAGCCTGAGCAAGAGCAAGATCAAGATCCCACCTCTACCAAAAATAGAAAAAATTAATTGTGCTGTGATGGCAGGTACCTCTAGTCCCAGATACTTGGGAGGCTGAGGTAGGAGGATCACTTGAGCTCAAGAATTTGAGGTTGCTGTGAACTATGATGATGTTACTGCACTCTAGCCTGGGTAACAGAACAAGAACTTGTCTAAAAAAGAAGAAGAAGAAGAAGAAGTTTTAACAAAAGCTGTCTCTCTCTAGCCAAAGGACCAGGAAGGAACAGCCTAGCAAGACAGAAAGCATTTTGGACAATAATGTCTCTACTTCAGCCAAACACCACAAAAAAATAATTGGCCCAGCCCCACCCATTCTGACAAAGACCCATCTGGACCTCCACCTCCTCCTGATAGAAATGAGGTGCTCTCCCCTCCCCACTGGATGGGGTCACAGAAGGACTTCTCAAGAGTTGGTACTTTCACCACCACCCAGTTGTAATGAGGTGTCCCCTCCCTCTGATGCCAATGGAAGCTGCGTAGAGAACCTAAACTTCTAATCCTGCCCTACCACAAAGTGGCACCCCCTTTGCCACCTATTTTGAGTAGTGTCAGAAGAAGCCAGCTCAAGTAGAAGGTTAGAGTAAGACCCGGAGTCTCATAACATAACAACCCCAAAGTCCAAGTCTCAATAGAAAATTACTTACACCAAGAACAGGGAGCTCTCAAACCAGATGAAAAATCTTACTCAGCAGATGCTGACACTCAGATAATGGAAATGTTCGCATTATCTGAAGATGATTTTCAAATAGCCATGACAAACGTGCCCCATTGAACAATTGAAAACTTGCTTGAAACAAATGAAAAAACCAGGAAGTGTCAACAAAGAAGTGAAAAATATAAAGAACAACCAAAGGGGAATTTTTAGAAGTGAAAATATAGTAATCACTATTTTAAAACTCAATAAATTCAGAAGCAGAATGAGGTCGCTGACGAAAGAGTCAATGAACTTGAAAATAGAACAAAACAAAATATACAAAAGGAAATAGATAATTTGAATAGCCCTATAACTAGGAAATTGAATTCATAATTTTAAAATTCCCCAAAAGGGACATCTTCATGCTAAATAGTTTCAATGTAAATTTTTTGCAGTTTTTTTTTTTTTTTTTGCTGGGGTCAGGTTTGAACCCACCTCCGGTATATGAGGCCAGTGCTCTACTCCTTTGAGCCACAGGCACCACCCAGTTTCTATAAATTTTTAAAGAATAATCAGCACGGGCTCGGCGCCTGTGGCTCAAGCGGCTAAGGCGCCAGCCACATACACCTAAGGTGGCGGGTTCAAATCCCCAGCCCAGCCCGCCAAACAACAATGATGGCTGCAACCAAAAAATGGCCAGGTGTTGTGGTGGGCGCCTGTAGTCCCAGCTACTTGGGAGGCAGAGGCAGGAGACTCGCTTGAGCCCAGGAGTTGGAGGTTGCTGTGAGCTGTGATGCCATGGCACTCTACCCAGGGGGACAGCTTGAGGCTCCATCTAAAAAAAAAGAATAATCAGCATGATTTTGCATAATCTCTTCCAAAAAAGAGGAGAAAACACTTTTCAGTTATGTTTATGAGCAAGTATTACTTTGATATCAAAACCAGACAAAGATAATATAAAAAAGAAACCTACAGACCGACAGTCCTCTCAAATACAGATATAAAAAATCCCTAAAAAAAATTAGCAAATAAAATTCACTAGAAGAATTCTTCACCATGATCAAGGAAGGTTTGATCTAGTGATATAAGTCTAGTTCATATTTGAAAGTCAACGTAATTCATCAAATTAATCAGCTAAAGAAGAAAAATCACGTCCCTATCCATTGATATAAAAAAATAATTTGCCAAAATTTAATACACATTCATAATAAAACATTTCATAACAATAGAAATAGGTCAGGCATAGTGACCCATACCTGTAATCCCAGCACCTTGGTGGCTGAGGCAGGAGAATCACTTGAGACCAAGAGTACAAGGGTGAAGTCAGTAAGCTATGATGACGCCGTGTACTCCAGCCTTGGTGACAGAGCAAGACCCTCTTTTTAAAACAAAACAAAATAGAAGAATTTGGATGCAGAAACAGAGACACACAGGAGCTGGCCACGTGAAGACTGAGGCGGCGGAGATGCAACGGTTCTCAACTTGTGGGTCGCGACCCACAGAACCCGCCACCTTGGAGGTGGGCCGTGCAGTACAAAAAAGTCAGGGAGGTACTTGCTAAAGAAATGTACCTGTCAGCGAGGATCTCAAGACAGATACAAATTAGCCAGAAAGAACATGCGATTCTATGAAAAGAATATCTGGAAATTCTTTCGCTTTATTTAATGAGCATTGTAGACTCACAGATGGCTTCAGGAATCGCCTATTGTAGCCTGTTCTTGTTATTTTCTCCCAATAGTTATGAAGGAAAGAGAGGAGGAAGGGAGGAAATGTTGCCACTATTTTCAGACATAGCACTTCATGGCTGCTTTTACCCAGGGCAGATGCCTGGAAGAGTGTCAGAAAGGGCAAGATTTGAAAAGAAATTGGGCTGCTGGCGGCAATCTGTGAACGAGAACAGCAGTCCTGAAGTTTACCCGTTCTTAGAGATCTCTGTGGGTCACAGCTCATACTTCATCTAGACAAGAATCGCCATCTCCACGTAAATCTCCAATCAAAAGACATCCAACAAGTCTCAGCTGGGCAAAGAGTTGTCTGAGGTTTGGTTTCTTTGCCCGAAGGAAAGTGAAATACCTGGATTCTGTGTCGCAAGCCTGGCTTGTTCCAACAGCTGCAAAGTTAATCAGAATGTGCAATTTCATCTCTTTTTATTCAGGAAGAAAATGCATAGAAAACCTAATGTCTTGACCTCTACTGATTCTGAAAGAGAGAACCATTTCTATACCAATGGCTCCTTTAAGCAAGAATTCGTGCAGCCCAAGGCTGGACCACTGTCACTGCCCTATAGCCCCCACAGCCTTCAATAAAAGTGGGCTGAACCTGCCTGCCTAGCTGGAGCCTCTTTCCAAAGGCACTCCAGGTTCTGTGGTGTTCAAGCCAAGCCAGGATAAACCTGCCTATTATGTCCCAAATTATGCTGAAGCAGTCATAAGCAATTTTTAACATCTGCCCAAAATGTTTTAATCAGCCAACTATTGAAAAATTACAAGAGACTGGGGGTGGGGGAAGCCAGCAAAAACATACAGTTTATATAAATGTAGCAACAATGTTCTTCTTCCTTAAGTCCCATTCAGTTCAACAGCTGGGTTTCTGTTGCAAAGAGCAAAATTAAATAAACAGGCAAGTGAAGCCTGTTCATCAATTTCATGAGTCAAACATTTTTATAGGCTGTTGAAATGTATCATTGCAGGATGCACGCCCTTGATGCATGCGGTTTCTGGACGTCAGTTGGACACGGTGAAGCTACTGCTGAAGATGGGAGCCAATATTAACATGCAGGACGCTTACGGCCGCACAAGTTTATGCCTGGCCACCTACTTGGTACTGACCTGTGACTGTCACAGGGGCTAAGCAGCAGGGGGTGATAACAGAGTCATTTTGGGGTCCCACTTGCAGAAGAGTGATCTTGGATTTATGCAGCTGGCCAATGGAAATAGAACTAGGAGCTTCGCTCCAATCATCTTCAAAATTTGTATCAACACTTAGAGTGGGTTTCATTGATTTGAGTCATTTTGGATGTTCTGAAAAATCCTCTAAGATTGAGGTGATATTGTCATTAGAGAGACTTTCTTTTCTATCTTAATAGCATCAGAATTTCCCTTTCTAACGCACTTGGTACTTTTAAGAATGGTCTTCACAAGTGACCCAAAAAGGGTGGTAGCACTTTAAAGGTCCAGTTAATATCTATGGGGTAGGATTGGCTGGGGAACCTGGGGAAAGACGGGAACTAGGAAGAGTGGGTGGGGGGTACGGAGTGAAGGAGACAAACCAGGCTCCTAAAGGGCAACACCAAGCCCAGGACCCAGCCCACAATCACTGCTCAGTTTAAAAACTGTATAGTAAGGCCGGTCCTCAGCACTGGGGGTTTCAGTTTGGCATTTCCCAACATGACAGCAAGCTTGGTTAAACCTTACTGAAAATCTACAAGCTCCTCTTTTCTCAGATCCTCCCTGTGATCCTTCTGGGAGGCCCCAGGGCTACCTTGAGTCATGTCAAATGAGTCCTAACCACAAGGGTTGTCACTCTCCAAAGAAGAAAACAGAAATTCTCATCATGACCACTGTTGCGGCTAATGCAGTGTGTTCATTTGCTGCTGCTGCTGCCTGTCGCTGGAGGCAGGTTCACCATGGAGCAGCCCCCCGAAGGTGCCTTGCTGAAGAAAAACGTTTCCCTTCCGCTCACACCATCCCTTCCTGCCATGATCTAGCACAGATTGCAATGAAGCCTTGTCCAGTTCTCACAGAGATTTTCTTTAGAACTTTTTCATGTTCCATTCACAGGCCCTTTTACTCTAAGATGCACAAATCCTGGAGGATTTGTCAAAGTCTGATCCCCAGACCCCTGTGTCAATATCCCCTAGGATGCTTGCTTCGAATGCAGGTTCATGGGGAGCACCCTACACCTCTTGAGTCAAGTACACAAGAGTAGTGTGTGTTGAGGGGCCAGGGTCTGCCTGGAAAACAAACCTTGTTGGCAATTTTTATGTCCACTGAGTTTGAAAAGCCCTGGTCTGCACATACCAGCTGAAGTCCCAGATCTCAGACAGACATAATGGCTGTCCTCCCAGCTCCCCTCACTGTTAGCACATGCCCTAATGACTACACTTGCTGTGGACTTTTTTGGTATCTGAGCTAAAAAAGAGAAAATTGGAATCAAGGGGTAGAGAAAGGGGGGGAGATCAGTTTCTAAAGTTGTCTGACGCTACTTACAGATAGTGAATACGAACTATGCCTCTCTTAGAATTCTAAAATTCATAATTTCAGATTTCTTCAGCTAGACAGTTACACGAGGGACCGGGAAGAAGTACTCTTCTAGAATGCAGTGGATAATAACATGCATCTTTGGAGACCAGAGGGATGACAACTTTGCAAACAACTCTTTCTAAGACTACACTCCAAGGCACTGCATAATGGGGGGTGGGAGGGGAGCCCTTCAGGATGCCTCCGTCTCACCTCCTTAACTAGGCCCTGCTAGGTGGTTCCCCAGGGTGGGATCCCTCCCTGCCTCTTCCCTCATTCGGAAAGGAGGGTATCCTGGGATTGCACTGTGAAGCCCATCACTCCTTCTGACAATGTTTGAATTCAAGCATTAATGAGAAACTTGGCAAAAGGGACACTTAGGAATGACATTTCACCACAGCTCCTCATTCAGCATACGAGTAAACCTACCATGGATTCATGACCTCAGCAGATCACTTTGTGCCTCTTTCCTCATTTGTAATATGTAATAAAAATAATAACCTAATAACCTAACTCATCACAGCTCATGTGGAATCAGCCCTCAAGTAGTAAGTGCAAAACTCGTTTGTTAGTTCTAACTCGTGACCAAATGTTTCAGATAGTGTGTTAAATGGTTTTCTGAAGAAAAAAAAGAAAACCACACACACACACAGAATTCTAGGAAATGTTGCAACATGATTTCTCAAAAATGTTTGAAACCTTCCTCCACCAAAGAACCAAAAGATTTACTTCTCAAAAACCGTAAATCTTTGGCAGTTCCACAATTTTCCCAGCATGCCTTTCTTTGGGTCTCTAGGTCATTTTTTTTTCCTTTTTAATCTGAGAACTTGATGACTTAGACCAGCGATTCTCAACCTGTGGGTCACGACCCACAGAAACTGTATTAAATGGCCCGGCATTAGGAAGGTTGAGAACCACTGACTTAAAACCAGATTTAATACATTGGTAAACTATGAATCAACACCAGAAATGCCAGAAAAATATTTGCTTCTCTATAACTTAGATAGTATTGGTCAATTCTACAAATCCATACTCAATGTTATAACCTATAAATTGTGGTGGGCTTTTGTTGAGAGATTTTCTTTCCACTTTTCAAAACCAAAAAGTTCAATTTACTTACATTACCTTCCTTCTTCTCCATGGATTTATTAACATTTTTGGTTTTCATTGTTTTCAATATTGTAGTATTTGGAAAGAAAATCTTCAGTTATCTTTCTCATCTTTCTGAGTAATCTTGAGGCTTACTTAGATGTGAATGGAGGAAGGCGGGAAGCCTGCTTCTGAACAAAATAGAGAATTGTGGTATCTTTCTTCATAATAATAGTTTCATCTATGGATAAGTCTTTGTAAAATTAAATGAGTAACCCAAGTGGTTCTGGATGAATGTAGCAGAACTCTCCTCAGCCTGCAAACCAAATTTGGTTATCAATAGGTTTGCATCAATTTGAGTAGTATGGGAGGAGATCTAGCTTAAGATTATACCCAGCCTTTGAAATGGGAGAGACAGTGGGAAAATATCCCAGCTGTTAAGTGTTGACAAAGGAGGGGGAAAGCATGGGGTGTAGCAGTATCTGGTCAATTAGTAGACAGCAAGTAATTCACACAAAATTTTTTAGGGAATTCATAGGTGAATAAAACACAGTAATAGGGAACCCTGGGAGAGTACTGGTGTTATGCCATATTTAGGGGGTTGGGCTTTTAGCATCAGAAAGATCTGTCGACAAGGTGGCAGAGTTCCTAGCTATCGGGGTGAGGCTCAGGTTAGGCCTCTCAGTGTTGGGAGGGAGACTGGTTAGAACAAGCAAGATGCTGTCCTTGTGGTTACTAGAATGGGGAACTTGGAATAGAAGACCAGCGCCCATTTACTGAGGAGTAGAGTGGAAGCTGAGACTCAGATATCACATAGAAGCCCAATTTTTAGAGCTAGACCGTGATATCCAAGTCAGCCTGTTGACAGATTTGGAGCTAAGCCCATAGTAGGAGAGGCCAGAGCTGGTTGATCACCCCCTAACATGGGTCACATTTGGCCCTAGGAACCAGTGTTATCTGAGCATCGAAGTAGAATTCCAGTGAGTGGTCCTAGAAAGGGAAAGGGGGAATCTGCCTCTGACAGAGTAAAAGGTCTTTTAGCAAACCTGGAAATCTGTACTCAAGCCCTTCAGCCCTCTGCTGAGGCATTTACATTGGAGTTGTGGTCCTTAACCACTTCAAGTCAAATAAAATATGTTTTCAGCCAAACCAAAGAAGGGGGGAAAAAAGCTAGAGAAAGTTTGTTGAACTATGTTATGTGAGCTTGTGTTGTATAATGCTGTGGTTGCACTTGTGTTTCAGGGTTGGCTCGAAGGCTGTGTGAGTCTACTCAGAAATGGTGCCAAGCACAATATCCCGGATAAAAATGGCCGTCTGCCACTGCACGCTGCCACTGCAGAGCCCGACGTGAGGTAGGTGGCCAGGTTTACATGGTGTTCAAGTTGGAAGGGACCCAACTTGCATTAGAAGGTCATCTAACCCATCCCTTTATGGCTAATGAAAACAAAACCTATTCATTTTGTTCTAGGAAAAATCCTAGAACAGTGGTTCTCAATCTTCCTAATGCCGTGACCCTTTAATACAGTTCCTCATGTTGTAGGGACCCCTAACCATAAAATTATTTTTGTTGCTACTTCATAACTGTAATTTTGCTACTGTTATGAATCATAACATACATATCTGATATGCAGGATGTATTTAGGTGACCCCTGTGAAAAGGTCATTCAACCCCCAAAGGGGTCATGACCCACAGGTTGAGAACCGCTGCCCTAGAATAATCTTAAAGCCAAATTTCATTCCCTTCCTACTTTAATAAGACCTTTTCCTCCTAATCTTCGATTTAAGAAGAAATGCTATTTTTCAGCATCAGAATTCATATATTCATTCATTTCATTAATCACCCTGTCATTAATTCAATAACTACTTACTAAGTGCATATTGTGGACCAACAACTGTTCTAGTCCCTTGAAGTTCCATGGTAAGCAAAACAGAATCTCTGGTATCACAGAGGTTACATTCTAGTGAAGGGCTTAAGTAACACACCAGCAAACAAGTAAATAAGATTATTTCCCATAGTGAGAAGTGCTATGAAGGAAACCAAATGGGGTAAAAGGGCAGTGACCAGGCAGAAAGGTTCATACTGAAACTTAAAGTCAAGCCAACCTGTAGGCATTGAAAGGAGGTAAAGAGTCTGTGACAGGGAGACCAGTAGGTTGGAAGGAAAACCAGAAGTGTGTGCTTCTCTAAGTTCTGTGAAGAAGTAGACTCAAGTAAATAGGATGATCAGAAAAGTCACATTATTGTAAGACAATTAAGTAACCAAGGAAAAAGTTTTGCCCACATCAACAGTAGCTTCCCCAGTCTTCCTTGTCTACATGGCCTCCAACCATTCTTTTGAAAGCCCCTCCAAGCAGAGACAAAAGAACTTTCTACTATGGAATCAGTAACAACAGGGGCTCTTCTTAACCTCTGCTGTACAGAACATGCCTCTGACAGGAATTTAGCATTGCCAAGCCTGGGCTGCTGGCCAGCACTATAGGGAGTATGTTCTGTATGCCCCATCCTCTACCCCAAATCGAAAGCTCTGCCTGAGTTAAGGAGCCCAATCCCCTCTTCCAACCTGAGGGATAACCAGATTTCTTCATTTCAATCTCTTTTACAGTAAAGTAAAAAAAAAAAGTATTGGGAAATTCCAGGACTGTTCCTAAGGATTGCCTTTTAATGTCTTGGACTCTGTCCAGAAATAACAGAAAACTGGGATTTACCCAAAGCCCAACAAAACAAGGATGTTTAGAGAAGAAACAGCAGGCCCAGACAGTCCATAGTCAACAGACATCAGAAGGGATGACTCCTTCTTGATGAGTATGGGGGTGTGTGTGCAAAGAATGACTTTTCTTGACAATCCATAAAATTGTTTAGTCACAAAAGCATAGTATTCCCAAGAGTGGTCTTTAGAAAGTAAGTTTAAAGTGTATCCTGTTGGATTATTCTGCCTCAATTTATTCTACTTAGTTGCTTTTACTTGCCTCAAAACAGTCATTTCAAAATCTACTGACTGATTCTGGAAGATGAAAGCCTACTTAAGGATGGTAATAATAGATGTTGTAACAAATAAAACACAAAGCTTCGGTGTTTTAGCATGATAAAAATGTTCATACAGACAAACAGTCCAATGTGGGTGGAGGGTAGATAGTGAATAGTAGGTAATGGATGGTTGTCATATGGTGATTCAAGAACCCAAGATTCCCCCATTTGTAGCTCCATCATCCCCTAGGATCACAGAATGCACCTTTTTTCAGCCTGCAAATGGGAAAAGAGGAGCATAGTAATCCCACCTTATCCTGGGGGGATATATTCCAAGACTCCGATGGATGCCTAAAACCATGGACAGTACCAATCTCTATATATGCTATGTTGTTTCCCACAAATGCATACCTATAAAGTTTAATTTATCAATTAGGCTCAGTGAGAAATGAACAACAATAACTAATAAAAAATCGAGCAATTATAACAATATGGCAACATCACTACTCTTGTGCTTTGGGGACATTACGAAGTAGAGTAAGAGTACCTTGAACACAAGCATGGTGATATGAAACAGTTGACCTGATAACCAAGATGGCTCCTAAGTGGCTAATGGGCAGGTGGTGTAGACAGCATGGACACACTGGACAAAGGGATGATTCATAACCCAGGTGGGACAAAGTGGAACAGCACCAGCTTCTATCATGCTACTCAGAAAAATGCACGATTTAAAACTTATAAATTGTTTATTTCTAGAAGTTTTCACTGACTGTGAAATTTATTTTGAAACTTGGTGGAGCACAGGTAATTGAAACCAAGGAAAGAAAGACCACAGATTAAAGGGGGACTATTATGCAGAGAAGCCACACTCAGTTCCTTAAACCTTCAGCCTACAAATGACACAATTCACTTTTGCTCACATTCCATTAATAAGGACCAGTCATTTGACCATATCTGGCTAAAAGGAGCTTTCAGGAATATAGTTTCTTGCCATGAATCTACCTCCCAACTATCATTCCAATCCATGAAAAGGGAACATGGATTTTGATGAAAAGGTATCTGTCTCTGCCCTTAACCCATTGCAGGGGTAAACTGAGCCTTGTCAGTCAAAATAACATTCAAGGACAATTTGTTCAGTTGGTTGAGTTCAGCCTTTGAAATCATTGCAATAGTAAATTGAAAACCAATTCAAGTGTACTTCCTCTTCTATGGACTTGTGTCTCCATTTGTTACCATGCCTAGCAGTGCCTTTACACTCTCTAGGATCACTACATTGCTGTAACTGAGAGAGGCAGAGAGTTGCGGTTTCCCTTTCTCTTCAAATTGGACCCAATGACCCAGCCACCACCCTTAGATGAAACCAGAAAAATAAACATCCCTTGTGTGCTGATGGCATAGTCTTATTGTCCTAAAAGGCCCTTAAGTGATTCTGAAGGAACATTATAATGCTGAATTTTATTATACCTTTCCTATGTTTAGGTACACAAATACTCATCATTGTGGTACTGGTGCCTACAGTATTCAGTACAGTAACTTGCTGCACAGCTTTGCAACCTAGGAGCAGAAGGCTATGCCTACATGTGTAGTCGGCTGTACCATCTGTTTGTGTAAATGCTCTATGATATTTGCATAATGACAAAATTGCCTAACAACTAATTTCTCAGAAAGTATCCCTGTTGTTACGTGACACATGACTATAGTTTGGTTACCTACAAAACATTTAGAAACTAGCTTGCCTTAAAGAGATCCCTATGAAATTATGCTATTAAAATTAAATATGTTATGGTTGTTTTATTGAGAAATTTTATGATCATGGCAGAGTTTGATCCCTCTGAGTGAAATGTTCAAAGTAGAAACTAACCAAGACAGGCTCTGTTGCAGAGAAATTGGGCTTTCATCAGCCCCGAGAAACTGGGCTTTCGTTTGTGTGTCATCTTGAACGCAGAGTTGTTTTCTGAGGAAACATAAAACCTGGTCTGTCTTGTAGGTTCTTTAATCCTGCAACCATAATGCAAGCCTGTTTGAATACTCAATGTTCCTTAGTGGAGGTTCTCAACTTCCTGAGTGCTCCTGATGCCCAGATATGGTCAAATGGCCAGCTTGGCTGACCTCTAAAACATATGGGTTTGCATTTAACTCACAGCAATGATGATGGTGATGATGATGATACCAACGTTGGCAGTTTACCACGCTCAAGCTCCAAGCAAAGTTCTAAGTGCTTTTTATGTACAACCTCATATAATCCCTACCACACTTCTATGCAACAGGTGGTATTTCCATCCCACTTTACAAATGAGGACACTGGGACACATGGAAAATAATTAATTGCTTACTGCATGTGTGAAGATAACCTGCCCATAGGTCTACTGTGCAGAATTTATTGTGAACTTTGTAGAATTTATTTCAATGGTCATATTTTGTCACTAAGCCCTTGCCCTCCATTGAAAGACCTTTTAAGAAACAGTTTTGATAAACTTATTGGCTCATTGTCAGGGTATAGTTTGCTCATGATAGCATCCAAAAAGTTCTATATAAGAAACCACCAGAAACATTCCTGCTAAAGAAGAGATTACTGTGCTTCTCCTGAGAAATTATTTTTGGTTTTTACTATACAGACAATGTGAATTAAGATCATGTTTCTCTCTTGGGATGTTTAGAAAATTCAAAACTTGGCCAGGTGTGGTGGCTCACACCCATAATCCTAACACTCTGAGAGGCAGAGGAGGGTGGATTGCTTGAGCTCAGGAGTTCAAGGCCAACCTGAGCAAAAGTGAGACCCCATCTCAAGAAATAGCTGAATGTTGTGGCAGATGCCTGTAGTCCCAGCTACTCAGGAGGCTGAGGCAGGAAGATGACTTGAATCCAAGAGTTGTGTGAGGTTGCTGTGAGCTATGACTCCATGGCACTCTACCAAGGGTGACAGAGTGAAACTGTGTCTAAAAACAAAACAAAACAGGGTGGCACCCGTGGCTCAAAGGAGTAGGGCGCCAGCCCCATATGCCAGAGGTGGTGGGTTCAAACCCAGCCCTGGCCAAAAAACCCCCATAAAATTCAAAAACCCAGAAAACTCTATTTGTGTACCACCTTCAGCACACATGTAGGACCCTAGATCACATCTTCTTTATCTTGCCCTTATTTTCTCTTTGCCTTGTTTCTTCACTAGTTATCTCATTTTTCTATACACGTATGTACATACAATATGTGTGTGCACATACATACACACACAGAGGGTGCCAAGAAATGTACACACATTTTAAGAAAGGAAAAAATCTGTATTAGAATTGTACTACTCAATACATAACACTAACAAAAGATGAACACAAGTCACGTTGAGCACCTCCTGTAATTACAAAGTCACATGTGACTTGCGTAATACAAATTCAATGTA